TGAACATCGACACCTCGGGAAGGCGGTTCCAGCGGATGAGCGTCGGACGGCGGTCGTTGATTCACGTGAGATCATGAAATGTTTAGAATTGATAATCAATTTTAATCTTTTGTTTTTTGCTTGTTTTTTCAGTCCGACTTTCATATCCCCCGCCGACATGTGGCCACTCGAGGTCGGTCCAGGTCAAAGTCGCCCNACGTTCGTTGATTCACGTGAGATACAATTAATCAATCAAATGAGCTTAAACTTAAAAGTCATTCTAATTTTTTGTTTTTTGTGTTTGCTTATTCAGTCCGACTTTCACATCCCTCGCAGACATGTGGCCACTCGAGGTCGGTCCAGGTCAAAGTCGCCCGTCAAAAACATGGGAACAATGACAGTGGAAAACGGCAACAGCTCTTCATCGCCACTCTCAAACAGTAAAGAGGTGTCACCCTACGCCCTCAGTGGGCGGCTGCCTGATCATCGACAAAACAACAGCAGCAACAACAGCAACAACAACACCCAAACCCGAGCAGAAAGAGGCTGCCAAACGGAAAGTGGAGGACCTGGTGGAGTTGATGATGATGAAGATCATGATGATGATGCTAAGCGTTCGCCATTTGCTGATGGCAAAAGAGGCCCCTCAAAACACCTGAGCACTCCACCACTTAAAACAACTGCCGGTGGTGGTCGTTATCAGGTGGCCGTTGAGGTTCACCACCTTCAACACCATCAGCCTAGCCAGTTTGTCAATGGCAGACAGCCATTCAACAACTTATTCCCCAACAAGAATGATGATGGTGATCTAAATGACAATGATGAGTCTGATGACTACGTGACGTTGATGAGAAAATCCGCGGCCAGAACAAGTGGTCAAAACCTCGATGACGTCGCCTCCATCAGCACTTCTTCTAATGCGGGTGAAATGATCAATAGCAATCACCAAAGCCTAAAACACTGGAGAAAAACAAATTCAAATAACAGTGCTCAAACGGTGACAGTTCGATACCGATCCGCAGGTGGATCCAAAGAGGAGTCGGCGGTGCAAACAGGATTTCCAGCAATGCAGCATGCACAACAGCAACAGCAGCAACAGCGTCATCATCAGAATGGAGGTCGCAGTTCGAGTGGCAATTGGAGTGCCGCCACCAGTGACCTCCTCCAGTCCTCCTCCACCTCCTCCAGTCCACTTCATCCGCTGACAACGATGATGGCGGCTCAACCGTCCTCATTATCAAAGAAAAGGCAGTCCAATTGGATCAGTAAAGAATCGACAGAAGTGTCCACCACCACTGATCAGGCCACAGGGGCAAACTCTGCTTCCACTTCAACTCAGCAGCAACAGCAGCATCAGCAGAACGACGAGGCAGAGTCGGTGTACTCGGTGGACAATGACGGCTACTTCACCTCGATGCACACCGACTCGGGCCTTCTCTTTGGCCATACGCCGATGACCGTTGAGTTGATGTCCAATTCCAATACTAATAAGAAGGGAATGAACAGCGAGCAGCTGCAACAACAGCAGCAGCCTAAACAGCAGCAGCTTTCACAAAAGCTGAAAAAGTCCGAAAACAACGGCCACAGTAGACTGCTCGATCGGAAGGCACTTTCGAAGCGTTTTGAGCGCATTCAAGAGGAGCAACAAGCTCCAAGTGGAGGAAAGAGTGTCAATGGAGTGATGATGCTTGATCAACAACAACAACAACAGCTGCAACAGACGACTTACGGCTCCAACGAGTCCATCAACTCGATTCTCTCCAACAGCGACGCCACCTCGGTGGCAGTGGATGAAGAGGAGGAGGAGGAAGTGGATAAGGAGGACCGAATTGCCCAATTAGAAGGTGAAAATGAAAGCGAACATGATGGTCACGGTATGATGCTGCTCTCGCCCATGGACGACACTGCCTCCTCGCTGGCCGGCGACTTTGACTGCTCCGTCAGTCACTGCTCACATCAGTTCAGTGGTCATCGTGGTCATCAACAGCTGCAACAGCAAAATAACCACAACATCAATGGAGAAGGTCGACCAGGTTTCCTGCTCGGACATCGAGCTCACCACCGAGCCGAGCTGGAGGAGAAACGACGGCTGACCGCGGCGGCCATTCGCATGATGCACCAGCGACAACGGAGCAACAACAACGGCAACAACATCATTCAAACACAGCAGTCAAGCAACACTCGACTTCGAACCGTTTCCGGAACCTCATTTGACAATGAGGACGATGAGGACAATGACGATGAGACGCTTCGAAGTTCGTCCAGCTGTTCGAATGGTACACTGAACGGCACGGCCACCACCACCGCTGATGACGATCATCATCAAAGTTCTTCCTCTTATCAGCACAAACACTATCACCACCACTTTGACACCACTCGAACGCGAGTCAAGCGCTCCTCCAGCTANCGATGAGACGCTTCGAAGTTCGTCCAGCTGCTCCAATGGTACGCTGAACGGCACGGCCACCACCACCGCTGATGACGATCATCACCACCATCATCAAAGTTCTTCCTCTCATCAGCACAAACACTATCACCACCACCACCACCACCACTTTGACACCACTCGAACGCGAGTCAAGCGCTCCTCCAGCTATCGATCGGCCAACTACGGCGGAAACTACTTTCGCTCGGCCACGCTGAACCTGCCAAAAAGTGCTGATCAGCCGTTGACAAAATCAGCCGCTGTATCGATCAAACCCGGTCAACTCCTGACAACTCCTCCTCCTCCTTCCTCTTCTTCGACCTTCTCCACCTCTGCCTCCGCTTCCACTTCCGTCCTTCGCCGGCAGGTGAGCAATCTGACTACTACTGAGAGCGGCGCGAGCAGCGCCTCGAGCAGCTGCCGGCGACTTCCGCCGCCGCCGCCGCCACCTAGAGTGAGCAGTATGCTGGTGAAGCTGCAGCAGTACCGAGATGATGATCAGCAGAGGAAGAAGAGGTCGAGGTCGTCGAGGAAGGTGGTGGAGGCAGAACATGAGCCACTTGAAGCACTTGAGCCACTGGACTTTGAGGACCTGGACAGCATCGTCAGCACTGAAGGTGGTGATGGTGGTGGTGGTGGTGGAGCTAGAGGTGACCAGGACCACATGTCCGACCTTGCTTCGCAAGCTTCCCAGGCTTACCACCAAGGCAGCAGCAGCTACGGCCACCATCATCATCATCGAAAAGCGCCCTCTGAAACCTGCTCCTCCGAGGCGATGTCCACCAACAGCGAGTACCTCCGTCGACGGCGGCACATCTTTGACAGCCTGGATGTGGTCGACTCGGCCCGCTCCTATCCGCCCCTCTCCTACATCGGTCCCTATGATGAGTACTGCGAGTCGCTTCCGGCGAGCAGTGCCCCTCCTTCAGAAGTTGATGGAGGTGGTGGTGGTGATCCGTCCACTTCGGTGGTGAGCATGGCCAGCAGCAGCACCTGCAGCAAAAGTGATGCCCACCACTTCTTCACTGCCTCGATACCGTTTGCTGATGATAGTTGTGAGCCAGTGAGAGGATCAAAGGCCACCAGATCGGAGATGACCAAGTCAGAGGACACGCTCTGTGAGGATGATCCACATTCGACGACCGCCAGCTCAAGGACGGTCACTCCCGTGGAGGGTGAAAAAGCAGCTGCTGACATAGACCAGAACAACTTTGGCACTCTGGAGCGAAAACAGCTCGAGGAGCGACACCTCAGCTCACCACTGCCGCAACCTAAGCTGGCCTCTCTGGCTCGCATGTCCTCTCGAGACAGCAGTCCTCGCCAACATCAGAACCACCAAAATTCTAAAAAAATTTCCAAAATCTCGACTAGTAAAGGCAGTCCCAGTTCTGAGCAAACTTCACAGTTCAACAGCAGTCAGCAGCAACTAAGCAGTAGTACTCCACCAAAGCCGAAACCCCGAAACTCGTTGCACTTTTCACCTGAGCGGGTAAGCCCGCCTTCCCTGCAGTCCTTTAGCACTGAGACCGAGCTGCCTAAAACGCCCTCAACAAAACATTCCCCTCAGCGGACTCTAAAATCACCACCACCTCCACCACTACCACCATCTACAACATCATACAAAAAGCAGNCTGCACTTTTCACCTGAAAGGGTGAGCCCGCCTTCCCTGCAGTCCTTTAGCACTGAGACCGAGCCGCCTAAAACGCCTTCAACAAAGCATTCCTCTCAGCGGACTCTAAAATCACCACCACCACCTCCACCACTACCACCATCTACAACATCATACAAAAAGCAGGTCACCATCAGTGTTCCACAAAGTTCCAAAGTCAGCACCACCAGCACTTCTGCAATGACGACTACAAATTCACCTACTGACTCCTCACATTCACCACAGTCGACCAATTCCACCACAACCACCGCTTCGTCTTCTTCTTCTTCACCACCACGACAAGCTTCTCCTTTATCAGCAGCGACCACCACCACCACGTCGCCCAATCGCCGCCTCACCACCGAGGACCTCTTCATCATTCTGCACAATCAGAAGAAGAAGCTGAACATCAAAACCGAGCCGACGCTCTTTACCTCCACTCGATCTCCGCCGCCTCCTCAACCGGCAGCAGCAGCTTCCTCATCATCTTCAAATTCACCTCTCACTTCACCTGGTGCCTCGCCGACCAAATCGTCGATACCATCATCACCAACTACGACCACGATCGTCACATCACCTCAACTCTCTTCAGCACTTACCACAACTGCACAACAGAATCCCACCTATGGGCAGATTGGCTCATCACTATCATCCGCCACATCATCCCCAAAACGGCGCTCCTGGACGGGAGCCGCCGCAACGCTGCCCAATTTGAACGGAAGTATTAAAAGCGGAAGTCTGCTGGCCCAAAGCAATCGGGAACCCTCGGGAACAGCAAGTGCACCGAGGACTCGTCAGTCGCTGGCCCTGGACCGCCTCGGTCCAATGCGTCCGACGACGCTGAGCGACTTCAAGCGACTGCTGGCCAATGTGCGACCATCGACTACTGTTTCAACTGTTGCTGCTGCTGCTGTTTCTTCCGTTTCCGGTTCTGCTTTGTTGTCACCGAGTAAATCGCCGGCCAACTCCAACTCTGCCAGTTCTTCCGGAATTTCGCCAACTGCCTCCTCTTCTTCCTCCTCTTCAACTACCACCACCACTACCTCCACCTACTCTGCTCTTCAGCAGTTGCTGAAGGGCCGAGGTCAGGAATCAGTGTCAGATGAGGTGACCACCATCACCAACTCCAATTCCGCCTCTTCAGGCTTCTCCTCGATGCTCTCTCCGCTGTCTCCCACCGCCACTACCACCTCCTCCAACAACAGCTCCTCTTCTCTTCTGTCACCCCTTTCACCCACCGCCTCTTCTCTGACCTCCTCTTCTTCCTCTTCTTCCGCTTCACCCTTTGGCTCTCCAGCTCGACAAAAAGCATCAGTGACTGGAAATGGCGGAGGGGTGAATGGATCATCAATCGGCAGCAGCAGCAGCAGCAACATGTCCGAGTTCATCAAGAAGTTCAGCAGCAAGTCTTCCCATCTGGGCAAAAGCGGCATTCCTCACTCAAGCAACGGAAAAGTGATGATGGGACACTCTTCCAGTTCTGCCTCTTCTCGAGTGTCTGCAGTGTCTCGTTTGCTTGATTCTACTTCTTCTTCCTCTTCCTCCTCCTTTTCCTCCCTTTCCTCAAAGACCGCCTCTTCCTCAGCAAAGCCGATGTTGGGGCCAGTGGACAGCTGTCCGCCGATTCTCGAGGCAGACACTGAAGCAGAACACTGTGGCGGCTCTTCCGAAGCTCTGGT